GCCCTCAGCTGCCACGCCTGGGTTTCCTGACAGCACAATCTGGCCCTCAGCTTTATCACGGGGTAGTGGCAGCTAGTGGAGGAGAACAGAGGTGAAGAGAGTGGGGGCCAGGGCTGGGGATGCCCCCTCCACCCAATGGTCCCATTTTATATGTGGGGAAACAGAATTAGAGAGGGTTAGAACTTGCCTGAGGTCACACAGCCAATAAGTAACAGAACTGAGATTCAAAGCCAGAGTTCTTCCCCTGTACCTGATGCTCCCTAATACTCCCTGCCCTTCTTTCTAAAGCCTGAAACTCCTCCCCCAATACTTCATTCTTTAACTTAAAGATCTACTTTCTTCTGGGATTAAAACCTTGCTAGTCGTGCACACTATATTGCATATTCTCCGGAGAGCAGGGTTTAAAAGTGAGCCAGAGCAAGAAGAGAAAGGAGTACTGGAGGTAGGAGAAGCAGGCAGGACTCGGAGGGAGGACAGCCCACCTTGGTCAGGTACATCTTGGTCAAGCTTACCTTGGTCAGGTACAAAGGGAAATTTCCACCATAGTTTTCTGGGACTTCAACGTGCAGCTCTGCAGGCTGGGCCTCGGGGAAAGCCTGTGGGAGGATTCTCACCTTGTCAACAGGCTCTGTCTTCCTGCCATGACGCTGGGGACCTGACAGGGAGGGGAATTTCTCCCTCTTCCCTGGACCTGGCCATACCTTAGCATATCCACCCTCATAATTCCACAACAGGCCCATAGCCAGCTCTGACCCCCTGCCCCCAACTGCTACCATCTGTGGTCAGTGTAACTGGTCCAGGTGGAGTGGGGAGCAAGGGTGCCAACCCCCAAAGCCAGGATCTGAAGGAGGGGAGCAGGGCTCAGCTCACCTGGGGGACGGAAAGGCAAAGCAGCCACAGCCAGGCAGGGACCATGGTCAGGAAGGGCCTGAGGGACATGGCAGTGAGGATCCAGCCCAGATTAGTGGGCAGAGAATCCCTCCCATCACCCTTCCCCACTCAGCTCCAGGCCTTGACTTCCCCAAGCCCCATGGGATGTAACTGTCCCTCCTTCTTCAGCTGAACCTCCTCCTACCTGGTCAGTATGGGGCAGGCAGCTTGGCCTCCTTCTGTCCCCTGTCCTTCTATGCTGTCCCAGCAACTCTCAGAGCTGCCCCTCCCCATCCCACCCACGTGGACACTGCCACTACCCACTCCCACCCTTGTCTCCTGCCTCAGCTCATTCCAAATGCATAGACAGAGGGACCTCATGACAGACTGGCCTCCTCTTCCTCCCCTAGAAGGACCTGTGGCTCCCCATTGCTTGCAGGGTACTGTCCAGCTGCTCAGCCAGGCCCACCAAGGCCCCCAGGCCCAGCCACCCTGCTGCTTCTTGGTTCTTGCCCCGACAAGGATCTCCATGGGAATTTCATCTCCAGACCTTTGTCTCCTTCCCACCTTAGCCTTCCCAAATTGTAGATCCCAAAGTGGTAATTTCCCAGCAGCCCTGAAAATCACAAAAGCTTGGGAAGATCCTGATGACTCTGAGGGTCACTTCCTGCAGTTGCCTCATGTTGCAGGCAAGGCCTGAAGGACAGGCCCTGACCAAGGTCACAGAGGATTAATTAACCACGGGCAAATTCCTCCTGGAACAGAGGACTCTTTCTTGGTTCAGGGTCTCCAGGACTGTTCTTTCTTCCACTGCCATCCTTCAGACTCAGAGTCCCCTCAGGGCAGGAGCCCTGCCCCCATCTTGACATTTTCCAGCACTCAGCATGGAGCTGGGCACACAGAGCATGGACAACCACTCCACTCCTCCCTGGACAACTGGAGGACAAGGCAGTGTTTCTCCTTCCCCCACAACCAACCCCACCTCAGCCCTGCCCACCCCTCACCCCAGCTCCCAGGCCTTCACCTGCTGGTGCCTAAGGCTGGCTTCCTTGGTCCAGCTGCCAGGTGAGAAGGCTTTTTCTCCAAGGAGTGCTGGCTGGACCGGGCTGGGTGGAGTAGGGCCGGGCAGACACTTGAGCAGGCAGGGCGTACACTTGAGCAGGTAGGCGGTCCCGCCACGCTTGCTCAGGAATGGAAAGCACCACTGGGCCCACAGCAGCAGGCCTGGCCCTGCCCAGCCCCCCAAGTTACTCATTGACTTTGGAAAGCTGGGGGCTGCTCAGCATCAGTCACTGCCAGCTCCAGGAGGTAGGGAGATCTTCAGCCTGGCACTCCTCCCACCCCTACACAGCCCAGTGGGCACTTCTTAGCCTTCTGGGCTTGGACAGTACAGTGTGCAAGTTTCTCATCCGCAGATTCAACAAACCATAGGTTGAAAATATGCAAAAAAGAAATTATGTTGTTGTTGTTGTGTAGTCAGGCCTACGATGGTTACGTCTTACTGAACATGCACAGACTATTTTTCTTCTCTTTATTCCCTAAACAATACAGTATAGCAACTATTTACACAGCACTTATATTGTGTTAGGTTTTGTAAGATGGTTTAAGTATTAGGTATTATAAGATTAGGTATTATAAGATGATTATAAAATATATTAGATATTATATATGATTTAAAGTTTACGGGAGGATATGCAAATACTACCCCATTTATCTAAAGGACTTGAGCATCCTTGGATTTCGGTATCTGGGGGGGTCCTGGGACCAATCCCCCGCAGATACGGAGGAACCGCTGTACTCACGCACCCCCATGCACCATCCGCAGCTCCACCTTGGCCCACTCTGTTTCTTTTGCATGGATGCCCTTCCCACCCCTTCATCTGACTGGTGAGCACCTGCTCAGTCGTCTGTACTCAGCTCATATTCCCTTCTCCAGGAAACTTTCCCTGGGCTCCCGGGCTTGCTCAGGGCTCTCCTCTGGGAATACCTCTCCCACCTCAGGCCCCGTGCTATCTCTATCAGTGCAGAGAGCACACCAGATTTTTATTGTCTGTCTCTTCCATCAGACTGAGAGCCCCTCCAGGGCAACATGCAGGGACCCAGCAATGACCTGGCTCTTGCCCAGCCTTGGCATCTCCCGTCTGTCTTGTGGAACTAAGACAAGGAGCTGGGGTTTGTACATGAAGGAGAGATGAGCAGGGCATGACCTGAAGTGGGCACTCAGGGCTCCAGACCACTTACCAGGAGGACAGTGGGTGGGGGACAGTGGCCAGTGAGATCCCTGAGTTTCCCAAGGTGCTCACACTAGCCCCTGGACACTGAAAGGGCTGAGACAATAGACTGCCACGTGCCTCTGAGAAGGAACCAGAAGACTGAGCCAGCTCAGGTGACCTTGAGATAATTGCAGGGCTGACCAGGGGCCCATCCCCCAGTGAGGGCAGCCAAGCAGAACCAAAAGAAGCTTCTGGGGCCTGGGAGTCCAGAACAAGGGGGTAGGGTGGGAAGGGTCACAAGGCCTCTAATCCCTCTCTGTCCTCAGAGCTTCCCATGGTCTCCCCTGAGTCCTTCCCACTGCACATTTGGTTAATTTCTCTCAGGGTGGAGGCTAGGCCAGGACCCTTCAGCTGCACCCAGTCTTGTCTGTCACAAGCTGAGTGCCTGCGTCAGGGTCACCCCAGGCACCCCAGCCTGGAGCAGTGCAGTGTGGGGAGGTTGAGGGGTCTCATGTGTGTTAAGCTCCTACTATGTGCCTGCTGTAAGCACATAACTCATTATTCCACTCCCTCTATTCTGAAGAGGACATCATCCCCACGTCACACACTGAGGCACAGAGAGGTTGAGTGGCTTGCCCAAGGTCACACAGCCAATAAGTGGCAGAACCAGGAAGGTCTGGATTCTTCTTCAGGCCTGAAGACCTTCACCTGCTCTGAGAAAACCATGCCTTCCTCATGCCTCAAAATATGCTGGAGGGGAGTAGGGAGCAGCAGAAGCTTTGAACAGTTATCATTGCCCTGGGGGGCATGTGGGCTAGTCACAGAGGTCACATGCACTGAAGAGCAGGCTTCAAACCTCTTCCTGCCATTGAACAACTGCCATCAGGACTCCAACCAGTTGTGAGGGCTCCCAGTGGAATGAATAAACTGAACTAATGAAGGAATGTATGGACCCTGGCCCGGAGCCTTCTCAGACACTCCCCAGCCTTGCTCCAGGCTGCCTCTAAGCTCTGGAGTCTGGCAGATGGCATTCTATATACCAGTCCCCACTCAGCCACTTCTACCTGTGTGACCTTGGGTGAACACTTTACTTCCCTACCTACCATCACTGAATGGGGATGCTTGTTCCTGAAACTATGGACATATTGCAGGCATCTGTGCCCATAAGGGCTCCCCTTCTTGGGTGTGAGTGATAGGAAGACAGGCACACCTCTATTAGTGAACATGTACGCATTCCCACACAAATGCAAGGCCTCTCGTTCCAGGCAGGGGACCCTCCAGGGACCTGCTCCTGCCAATGAGCTTGGGATGTTCTGGCCAGATCATCCACAGTGGAGAGAACAGTGAGGCCCACTAAGTAGCCCAGCCTCAGCAGAGAGGTGGGGAATCATTCAGAGTCAAGTTCACAGGATGTGCCTTCCTCACCTCACCCTTAACAAGTCAGGGAGTCTTGAAGTCTTCCACAGCCACCCCACCTGGGTTGATTTCCAGCCCCTGTGGAGGGAGCAGGACAGAGACACCAGCCCTGGGCCTGACTCAAGGTTCTTGTTTGGCCATGAGAACTGGGGCAGAGTGTGGTCCCTTGGGCAGCCTCAGTTTCCCTTACACACAGTGGGGTGATTGAAACCTCAACCAGCTGGGCAATGCCAGGCCCCCGCGCAGGAGAAGAATCTGGATAACACCTGGGAGGGGTTCATGTCTCCCTTCTGCTGCTGGGACCCCCAAGCAGGCCCCAACCTACATTTACCCCCTCTGACTCAGCTGGCTATATCTGGACCCAAACCTTAGGATAGTCAAGGCCACACACTAGGGAGTGGCAGTGAGCCCCACTTTGGGAACCCTGCCTACTCCTGCAGCCCCTCCCCTCCCAGGAGGAAGCACAGAGTTCACAGTCTTGATCTATCAGGAAATAGTCTTTATTACAAAAATCTGCCTGTAAACAAATAGCCACTGCACTGAACAGCCACCCTCCAGGGCATGCACACCTGGGTGGAGAGAAAGGCAGAGTCCTCTCCCCACACACAGATCTGTCCCATGAGCTGGGCTCGGGCAGCTGTTTGGGATGCACATGGGCCTGCCCAAGCACCTCTTCGGGCCCAGCCCTCGATGGCCAGTGGAAGCCACCTCCCTGGGCAGCACTGTCTGTCCATGACCATGAGGTGGGGGACACCAGAGTCTGAGCCAGCCCTGAGGCACCCAGGGCAGTTTGCTGGGCCAGCCCACCAATCTGTCCAAGTGTCTGAACAAAACAATGAGTGCCCTTGAGGCCTAGAGCACTGAGAGGTCGTGGCAAGACTTGGACTTGGCACGAAAGGCCATCTTGCGGCTGTTGCGTGCTACAATGCGGCCCAGGAAGCGCTTCGCCTTCTTGCCGAGGCTCTCTCGCCGCATGGTACCCGCTTGCCGACGGGCGTTGGCCTCTTTGCTGTCCCTGCGCAGGCGTATCTGGCGCACGACTCCCTCGAACAGTGCCTGGACGTTGTGGTGCAGTGCAGCCGAGGTCTCAATGAACTTGCAGTCGAAGACCACCGCACAGGCCCGGCCCTCTGGTGTAGGTAAGGACAAGCACAAACCAGTAAATAAAGGGAAGGTGCATGAGGAACCCACTCAAACCCTGGCCACCTCATGGCAACTACCACTCAGGAATCTATGGGTAAGGGACAGTGGAGCTCTGGTTCCTCCTCAGAAAGAGAGACCCCAACCCCACTATGGAGGGTCTCGGGCACTGCTGGTCCTGGGTGTAGGAGTTTAAGGAGCTCACAAAGGCCTGCAAAAGCAGACTCATTTATTGAAATAATTTGAAGGCTGATCTGTAAATGGAAGTGCCACAGTAGTCAACACAGGAGACTGAGAACTTTGTTGGACAACGTTATATCATCATGAATGGAATGGTGGGTATGTAACCAAGTCATTGCTAGATTCCTCTGAGGGGCTCAGTTCCGGGGACCACAAAGGAAGATACTCAGCCCAAGAGAGGAGGCTCCTCCCCAGGGGCAAGCCTACTTCAAGACTGGTCCAGGCCTGAGATCCAGGCTCTGACCTCCTGGCCTGGTTCCATGTACTCTCCTCGCTCCTTGTCTGTCAGGCCAGGGCCACAGAGGACAAGAGAGGAGGGCCCTGAGGTGACCCTGCTGCCTCCACTTCTCCTAGCGCATTTGGTCCTTTCCCCAGGACTCTCAGGTTGTTGGGTGTCTCGGAGAGCAGCTCTCCCCTTCTCCCCCGACAAGTTTTCTTCCTGAATATTTTTAGCTACTAATGATCCCCAGGGACTCAAGCTGAGTCAAGACTGAGTGACCACAGCCCAGCCAGGATCTCCCTCCCTTTCTGACCCACACCCTGCTCACCATCCAAGGAGACCTCACGAGAGCGCACCAGGTCGCTCTTGTTGCCCACTAGGATGATGGGCACGTCGTCTGTCTGCCGTGCCCGCCGCAGCTGGACCCGCAGCTCTGAGGCCTTCTCGAAGCTGCCCTTGTCCGTCACTGAGTACACGATGACATATGCATCCCCCATGGCCATGCAGTGGCCTGGCAGCCAGTGGCCCCCATCCTAAAGAAGACACACGCACACACACACACATATCTAGCCAACAGTTCTCATGCCCCAGCCACAAGGCTGTTACTCCCAGCAGTCTCCTACTCCCCAGCTCACCCCTCCTACCCTGCCCTGGGTCTCACCCTGCATCCTACCTGCTCCCAAATGTCATAGACCATGAGCGATGCCTCTTCTCCATCCACCACAATAGAGCGATCATACGTGTGCCCTGGACAGGAGACCAGTGGTCAGGTTACTTGCTGGCTGCCAAAAGCCTCCCCCACCCCCCATGCACTAGGTTTCCTACTCTGGCCACACACATCCCTTTCCCAAGCTAGCAATGTCCTAGGTGGCCATTCCTGTGCTCCCTGCCCACCTGTTGCTGGGCTCCAGGGTGGTTCTAACCACAGTGGCCTGAGTTAGAATAATGACAGTCACATCCTCTGGGGGCCTTGGTTGGTGACCTAAGGCACCTCCCCTAGAAACTCCCTCTGGCTGTGTTCGGGTCAGTCCTGGCAGGAAGGGATGTCTTGTCCCCATTCTAGGGTAATCATATGTATGCCCTGGGCCTTCTACTCAGCATTTCTTCCTCTATCATGGGTAGGTAGAGGCATGATTCTGAAAGCGCCTTCAGAATCCCTTGGTATTTGCCGCTTTTATTCCAGGACCCCAGCCCTGTAGGCCCCAGCCCTAACCCTGGGATCTCCCCTCCTTTGAATAGTCAGTCCCAGCCCCTCACCTGCAGCCTCTGCTTCAGGCCCGTCCTCCAAGCCACCGAAGATCCGAGCCAGAGCGCTCTTGCCCACGCCAGGCGCCCCCAGCAGCAGCACCTTGTAAACACTCTCCTCTGAATCGCTGCCCCCTGAGCTGAGAGAGTCAGAGGAGCTTTCGGGCCAGTCCAGCCTCGGACCCTGGGTCCTGGTCC